GTTACATTGTGGGATATACAGCAGAATCTAGTGGAAGCCAGTGGAATTCTGGGACTTTAAGTACAACTCGAAAACTCCCATCATCCATCTATTTCTAGGTCTGTATGTGACATTTTGAGAGAGAGCCCCATTTTCAAACTGCTGCTAGACATTTTGGAGAGAGCAATGTGCTGCACCTTGATGCCAACATCTACAAACTACATGGAGAGTGAAGTGGGTTGAGTTTGTGACTGAGTAGATTTGGATTTCAGCTGCAGTGCTCCTGAGCACCTCTACCGGTGCCTGAAGCTGTGCCAGCGAAAGCAACAGAGGAAGGAAGAAAAGTCTGTAAAGCAACTGCCACTGCATGAGTTTTGTAGCACATGGGGACTGGGAAACCATGAGTGAATAGTCAGAAAGAGCTCCTCTTAGTGTTTGGACATGTGCCCCCATTGCCATCTGGTAGCTGCCCAACCCCATTGACAGCACCAGTCAGTAGCTAACCAGTTTGGCCTGCATAGTTCCACCTTTGAGAGCACTGATATTGGTGTCTGCAGGTATGCAGAAGGTGCTGATACAGTAGGGTCATAAAGCTTAGCAATACTCATGAAGTTATGGATGGGTTTCCTGAATTACAGTGGGGTAATTGATGGTACTCATTTGCCTACCCGTTACCCCCCTGCTCCAGACCTTATAAATAGAAAATATGATTTTTCTTTGAATATGTCAAGGTCTAATAGTTTACCGCAATGGGTTCATCAACCTTAATGTGGATTGATTGTCCATGTGGCCGGAATCTCACCTGTTTGTCTTAATTAGTAATAGAAGATCACTATGCACATCAGTGATGATGAGATTTCTCCTTATGCTCTGCTTCCTTGTCTAAACAAGCCATTTACAGGTCTCTTGCCTAGTAAGTAGGAACTATTTATATACTGCCTGTGCAGCTGCAAGATGAAATTGACGTGTGACTATGCAGGTCGAAGAATAGGTGGTGTTTGCTGACCTACTGATTGTGTATTGATTTCTTAAGAACCCCCAGTTAGCATTGTGAGACGTGGTAACTTCTTGTCCCAAGATCAGGTCTAGAATGATTAAAATTATTGTTCAGTTAGGAACCCTGATGTGCATAGTTCCAACACGCACAGGAAAAACCTTCTGCATTTGCAATAATTGTATTAACACAGTTAGCAAAGTTACAAATATTCCTATCCAGCAAAGTAGAGAAAGAGAATATTAAATGTGCAGGTAAGCAGCCATATACGCACACTATTCCTTGCAAAAAAGACCCAGATCATTAGTCATATTCCTCATTACTACCAGTCGTCATTCTGACAACTCCTAGGTGTCACATCTCCCAAGACAGAGGCTGGGGTACAACTTGGTATGCCTAATGCACCTTTAGTAGGACTATCAGCCCCTTTTCCTTATTTGTAGTTCCTCACCCTGCTAATGTTGGGTTGCCTTTCTCCCCTGGGTTACTACTGTGTTTACCTCAAATTTATTAGCATTCATGTCAATTATTTACTGCATCACTCTTCTGGTTAGACATCTGTTGACATTCCTAACTTCAAATATCCCAAGATGGAATACACTAGCATCATCTGGTGAGCTGTCAGCAGTTTAGTTGTTACAGCATTCTGTCTTGTGATAGCTCATGATTAGGACCCTACTAAATTCCCTGTCTCTCTCTACAGTGTTCTGAGTCAGGTCAATCCTCTCCTGGATTAGCTTGATGCTCTCCTAAACCAGGTTCCTAGTGTCTTTAAGCAGCTGCCTATCTTTTTTTTAAAAGCCAGCAAAACACCCTTGGAGTCCCCAGTGGTTTTGCAACTTTTCTGGGAGGATGTTAAATGATTACTTCTGCCTTCCCCCCCCAAAAAAAATCCTTCATACATTCTCCATTTCTTTCTTCTCAGATTTGCCAGATATTCAGATGTTGATAAGGATCCTGCCTGTCTCTGTATGTCTTGTCTTGCCACTTCAGGGGCAGTTACTTCAAGTGTTTACTCACATGTAAACCCAAGTCTGTTTTGGAGTAAGCGGTGAGAATTACTGCTTTTGAAAAGTTGAATAATTTAGGAAGACTATTGGGAGGAGGTGGGAAGAAAAGAACCTGTTTACTTTTTGAATAAGCTGCAAAAAGATGAGGCCTTTATTACACAGAAGGTCAAACTAGACAATCATAGTGGTTCTTTTTGCCCTTGGCATCTATGAATCTCCCTCCTCATTACAATTCGTGTGCATTAGTCTTGATGCCAGTTGACCATTCCTTGTTTTATTCAGAGGAATGGGTAATTTCACCCAAGATGCCACAATCAATTTCTATTCCATATAAAGGCGCGAGGCAATGCTTGCATGAATATTTTACTATATACCTCTTGACGTACTTCACTACAAAAAAAGTCTATTCTTGCTATAAAAAATGAATAGGGGATGGTGTTTGAGGTGGGCTCTTGGCAAAAAGAAAAGAATAAGTGAGAGAGACTTGTTCCTTGAGATTAGTCTTACAAAGCACACGTAAAGCATTTTTTGGCATTTGGTGCAAGTACATTTGAAATTCCCAGTCAACATTTGTATTTGATGAGACTTAGGGGAAGAGGGAAAGTGTGCTGGTTTTAACTGATTTTGATTCTGTTATTTAGATTATAACAGTTTATAGTCTACATTTTGAGTTGGACACTGTACATGATTAAGTTTGTTGGTCTGGTGCAGCACACTAAATTCTTTCCCTCATTGTAGGCCACATTCTTATGGATGTTCTTCTTTTATAGTTCATAAATAGCACCCAACTACCACAGAGTCCATATATAATAATACTGAAAAAACATAGGTTTTCTTGTTCAAGAAGAGAGATGGCATAAGTAACTCCTGACTCCCTTGGTGAGATCCCTATGCAAAGGAGAGTAATCACTGTGCTAGTGGTCTGGAATGGGAGAGATGAAGGACAGACTCCATTCTCATCCCACTCTTCAGCAACCAGAAGAACAGGCTGGGGGACAAGGGCATGCATATTCACACTCCTTGAGGAAACATGAGGCTTTTTTGATACAGCATGCCCAGCTATGTCCTAAGAGGCATTCTGCATGAGTCCAGGGTCCTTTATTAGAAAAACTCCATCCCAGACATTTATGTTTTAGGAACTATGACTGAGAGAGACCAGTACACCTTACAGACAAGTCATGTTAGTTTCATCCCTGATTACAACACTGTAATGCATAAACCCTGGAAATAAGCAACAGTTTATCTACAGGGCTGTAGTGATATGTGAAATAATGAGGCAACTGTGGTCTGGATTAAGCTGATTTTTAAATACGTGTGATTCTTCCTACTCCATCTACTCACACACTCAGTGGTGCTACAGGGCAGAATTAAGGTTGTTTTGATGCTGCTGTAACTGGAGAGTTTGGATTTCTTTTAGGTATAACCTTAATTCTGAATTTCTTGAGTTTATCATGCTTGATCTGGGGATAATTACATAATTTCTGTAATGGTTTAACCCTTACAATTGCTCACACATATTGGCAATCTCAGATCCATCTTAACATAATTTATCTGAGAATTTATTTTTCATTTTTACAAAGCTTCATACATGAACACTGAAAGAAGAATCCCAAAGAATACTATCATTCAATATATCTAACTGTGAGTCACTATGTAATATCAGCTTTAAACACTTTTTAAGTAAGAGGGCAGGCTATGCCAAAGCACAGCAAACAACCAGAGTGCACCAGCCACATGAATTGGGTTTGCAGCTGTTTTGCACTGACAGTTCAGCTGTTTTGTTGCTGCATAAGCACTAATGATGCTGGTCCTTGATTTGCAATTGCATTATTGTTTTAGAGGGTTGTGTTAGCAGGCTGAGCACTATGTGACATTGGAGGGGGGCAGGGAAAGACAAATGCTTTTATACTTTATGGGCTCCCACTCTGCTTCTGCCTTAGTTGCCCTAGAAGTGCTCCCTCACATTGCCTAAATAGCAGTGCTACAAGGAGCCTTTCAAGTGATGATGCCCAAAGGTAAATGAAGCCACAGACCCTTCAGGGAGAAGTGAGAATTAGGCAGTTATCTGCCAGTGAGAACTCTCCACATAAGTCAATTATCTTCATTCCACTGAGAACACGTCTTCACCACCTTGCTACATCAGCGGACTGACATTGATCCAGCTGGGTTGATGTAGGGTGCCTGGTGCAGATGTACTATGTCAACGGGAGAGTGCTCTCTCTTCAACATATTTACTCCACCTCAGTGACAGTTGAAGTTGTATTGGTCGGAGAGCATCGCCTGCTGCTATGATGCAGACAGTGCTTTAACTTACATTGCTCAGGAGGTGGCTTTTTCACATCCTCTAGTGAGGTATGTTCCATTGACTTATTTGGTAGTATAGACGAGCCGTTGAGTCATTGCACCCATAGAACTGTTAAATGTGAAACGGGATAGTGATAGGTTGAGTTCTCTGATGTCATAGTTACCCCACCTCAGATTTACCAGAGCTATTAACCTGAGTTTACATATAGCCTTTAATAACAAAGACCCAACTTTAAAACCCATCCCTACTGTATATTTGAGAAATGTCTCTGCATATATTTTTGTGTTAGGACTACCTTTGAAACATTCCTCAGGGGCCCCATAGCTTTTGCAAATGGGTGATTTCTGTTATGCTCCTCAACCTTTGTTGTGACATTAACAATTCCATCAGAAATTGTGTTTCTATTACACGTAAAATATTTGGTTTCTCAAAGCAGCTTATGGAAACAGGAACATATATTTCAGTTCTGTACCTCAAATTTTGGGCCCAGCTTGGTATACCCATAAGTGCATCAACAGGAAGAAGTAGGTATGCTACTCACAAAACACACTAACACACACAATCAGATTCTGAACCAAGATGACCTAGTTGCTCCTGATGCCTAGTCACGTACGTAAACCCCTTGACCACTGCTCTGTCTGAGAATAAAAAATAAAAATGCTAAATTTTTCTTTCCTCTTTCCCCTGTAACACATTTTCTGTATAATTGCAGTGCTGAAAAATAAGGGCCTGGCAGAATAAACTATACCTGCATCCTGATTAGCTGACTGACACTGCTAATATGGTGGGCTCCCATCTAGGCAGAGGTCAGTAAGTGAATGCTAATTTGGATTTATATGCTTGTCTGAACCTGCTAGAGCATGTTCTTATAGAGTGTTAAGATTCCTCTCTAGGCAGTTTGGATTTGACTCAGTTATTTCTGGAATTAACATGTGTAGCACACTTTTGTGATATAGGTTTATTAAACCTTGTTTCTAGTTTGAAATACACTAGTCCTCCCTTCCTTTCATGGTGTTCTTGGAGTCAGGGAAACATTCCTCAGGAGCCCCCATAGCTTTTGCAAGCAGGTGATTTGTGTTATGCTCCTCAATCTTCTTTTCATTTAAAACAGAATATTGACTCTCCTCCCTCCCCCCCCAACACAGAAATGTCACTTCAACCATTTTATGTGCATAATTTGCAGTTTTAAGAAAAGATCTGGGCTCTAAAACTGTGCCCTGGATTATATTTGTTGTTGGTCAGCAATACTGTTCGTGTCTAGGGTTACAACTGCTCTTTTTCTAGTTGTTCAGGCAGCAAGCTGGGTGACTACTAGTGATAAGGTAATATAAAAACATCAGTAATAGGTTCTCTCACAATAAATAAGAAAAGTCATCAGTCTTTGCTAATTAAGAAGTTTGTTATGTAAAGCTGAAGACAAAAAAGCCTTCATTTCCCAAAAGGAGAGCATTTCTAAAGCCCCATTCCTTGACCCCCTTAAGTTATTATTCTGATTCTATCCCTTGTGTGCTTTATCTTGCAATTTAATTAGGTGCTTGTTTTAAAGAATTATTTAGTAGCCTCTTAATCTGCAGTCCTCTCTGATATGCTGTGTAGCTGCAAGATGAGTTCCTAATTATACTTTATCAACTGTTCCATCTTTTCAGTATCCAAAGGAAGAAAGAAGTTTGAATGATGTTACCCTCCATTCTGCTTTACAGTTCTTTCTTAAAAAGAAATGCTAATAATGCAGTTCAGCCTAGTAGGTCAGTAGATTTAAGTGCATCATTTTCTCATTTCAAATTTGCAGTTTTTATATCTACCTACAGTGACATCAAATCAACATTTGACACTGGTTCTTGTTCTTTGGCTCAAATCATCAGGAAGCTGTACATCTCTGTTGAGCAAAAGGTATTCATAAGTATCTGTTACATTTTTATTGCCAGTTGCTGGGAGAATAGCAGCAGCTATTGGAGTGAGTGAGTGACAGGAAAAGATAGACATTTTGTGGAACAAGGAAACAGTCTTAAACTATGGTATAAGCTGATAGTTTGTGGGGGTTAAGGAAAATGGTCTTATTACTTATCCCTTTCTCTATAAGGCTAACAGTAGTATTGCAGAAGTGTTTCCAGAAATGAACCATAGTATGAGTAATACAAATACACATACTGTAATTTAACTGATCTTTTATACTAGAGATCTGTGGTGTTATATCTTCCTTGTTAACTATTAGCATAGGGGGTCACTTATGCCAACAGAATGCATCAAATATTTTTTACAAGAAAAAGCAGATTTTCCGCAAAAGTAATATGTGATGATCAATGTGCAGGAGCCAATAACCATGACACTCAAACATTCAGGTAGCCCTTTTTGAAAATACAAATGTTTTCAGGCATTTTGATTAATCTCATGTTAGTAATAATAAAGTCTGTATTGAAAATGGCCGTTTTTGAGTGAACGAGGAAGGAAGTGGGCACAAAGTGCTTCCTCTGTCTTCAACTGAAGCCTTTTCAGCTAAAGTGTAGTTGGAGGAGGCAGGTAGTATTTAAGGCTAGTGTTAGCAATAGCCTCTCCAAAAGTGACATGTTGGGATGGGGCAGAGATGTTGGCAAACCATATGCCAGTTTATGACAAGGCCTCTAGCCCATACTGAACACTTCACAAATGCATAGCTGGAAACCAGTCTGATACGCCGATGTGTTAGTATTATTAAAATAGGTATTAGATTTATAAAAGTGGGCTTAGTTTTTGGACTTTGTAAAATAGTTGTGAGTTGATGCAAGTATTAATCTCACTTATAATATCTATATTCCAGTTGATCAGGTTATATTTAATTGTTTGCTCTGAAAATGCAAACTTCTGCTGCCCACCAATCAGAAGAGAGAAGCATTACCAAGTATTGAATACTGGTTTTCCAAAAGAGGTGTCATCTTCTACCCAACAAAATAAAGCCCACAGACACCAGGCACACCACTGTGGGACATCAGAAGATAAAAGATATTGTTGGTTGATTCCCCCTACACCTAGGAAAAGGAGACACATAAAAGAACTCAGCCTCTTAACTTGAACTCTGGAGGAAAGGAATAAAAATCCCTGAAAAAGAAGAAACTCTTATTTCTTGTGCTGCTTGGACTTCAAGAGGCAAAGATTTCCAAACATATGAAAGGGAGCCCTGCTGCTTACCCTAGGTTATCCCTAAAGTACACATGGAGCTTGCATATCACAGTAATCTGAATAGTGTTGTGATTTTTGGTTGAAGGGGCCATCTGTCACAAAGGTAATCTTACGTGGGGGGTCCAGGAAGGCTATGTCTAGACTGCTAAGAAAAGTCATAAAAAGATATGTGAATCGCAATTTGCGTATCTTTTTCTGCTATTTTTCCCCAAAAGAGGCTTTTCTGAAATTTGGCCCATCTACACGGGGACAAATTTCAGAAAAATCTCCTCTTTTGGAACATCAGTTATTCCTTTCACTGAGAGAATACAGGGATGCCGAAAGAACACATCTACTTTTTTGGAAACTGGTCCGAAAAAGCAGACGCATTCCTTGGATGCAGCATAGCTTTTCCAGGATACTAGACATAGCCATCGATTGGAGTATTCAAAAGGTCTGCCTATGATTTCATGTTCAAGTTATTATAGTTCTTGAAGAGTTCTCACTTGATACTTGATTTGTGAAATCTAATTATAGAGCTCACAACTGGCTTGTGCTTCTTCACAGTTTGCTGCCCTGAAGTTGGTACACATACCAACTCCAGACAGCTTGCCAGGGGCCTTTTCAAAAGAGGGCAGCACTCCAACTGCATGATTTCTCCAAAACTACAAAAAGAATTCTGGCCAACTGAGCAGAAGTATTCCATAGATTCCTTCTGTAATGAACCCTCCTGTGTACTATGTAGTTCAGGCCTACTCTGTGGAAAAAAAAATCACAATTTCACCCTGAAATATTTTCCATCCTTCAGCACACTAGAAAACATTCATTAGTTCCAGTCCCTCTGTTTGAACTAAAGTGTAACACCTCTGGAAACCAACTCTGTGGTAAGTTTAATTACGGGAATCTATTGAGACAAAAGCTGGATTTCAACTTTCTTTTTCCCTTTGAGGAGCTCTTCCACTATCCAACTGCTCCAAGAAGCAACTTTCTCCTTACTACTCTCTTAATGCAATTGCAACTCCTAGGTTGGGAAGAGAAAGACATTAGATCTTACTTCTAATTTTATATATAAATAAAAGAGTGTGCACTACCCATCTTCTTTCTCGGTAATGTTTATATATAAAGAAAGAGATGCCTGCAGATACCATGTGCATAGGCTCCAAGAAACAAAAAATCATGCTATCATTAAAGAAGATTCTTCAACTTACAATAACATTAAGGAGACACTCATTTCCCTTGAAGGAAAAAGACGTGTTTATGTAGGCATTGTAACTAGCTTTTACAAGCTCTGAATCATAACAGCAGACAGACACATAACTCTTATCCAACAAAGAACTATGGCTAGGAGACAATTGAGTCATTTTTCTCTGCTCCAGCTCTCAGTAAATTCTGCTTTGCCCCACAAAGCCATAGAGATTGCTGTCACAGATCCCACTGCATCCTAGGAATGGCTGTATTAGTCTCATGCTTTGGTTTGCATTGTCATGGTGAGGTCTGCTATTTCACAAGGCAACAACGGGAGGTAATTTTCAGTTACACACATCTGTTTAGTTTTTGAGCTCAGCAAGTCTTGTCTTGACTTCGGTGAGAGTTACATGCACATAAATTCTGTATGGTTGGACTCCCTCTTTGACTTCTTGCTTTCCCTTAGCCCCCTGATGCTATTCAATAGGAGTTACTTACAGCAAGAAGTGCATGCATAATCTAAATAGCCTTAACTGTATGTCCTACCAACAAAAGCCCCTTATTAGTGCTGCATCTTGAATAGTGTGACATAAAATCTGTAGAATATGCAGCTGTATTCCTTCTGGAGGACGATTTAACATTCAGTGCAAAACAAAGAGAAAAATATAGTGATTCTCTTCCTGACCAAAACATGATCAAAGCACTCTCTCATTATATTGTAAGTGCCTCCAGAATCTAGGATGAGGAATTCCACTCCATAGCAATTATTATCTTAAGTAGGAAAACCATTTCTCTGCCTTATTATTTTTAAAGTTTCAATCAAGTGGTATAAGTAAAATAATCTGCCAGTCATACTCAAGGTCATCCAAAGTGCTTAACCAAGAAACTGATTAAGTATGAGTGGTAGAGTGTCTGAGAAGGGGTAAAGTGGCCATCATGCAATCAGCATTCAAACAACTTCTTTCTTAGAGGTATGTAATGATAGCAGACAGAAATTTAACAGCAAAAGACATAGTCCATTCTCTGCCACAAACCTTCTCTCAGCACACATTTTCTAGGTTAAACTGGGATTTACTACAGCATTACTGAAAGCACAATCCAGTGTTAAAAATTAAAGAGCAAATTCATGCCTAGCTCCTTAAATATTAAGAAACTCCAATGAGACTGCTTCAGTTTAACAGAATTACAGAGTGCAAAATAATCAAGTAAGTACCATTTGCTGCATCTTCTTTAATGTTTGCATCCATATATGTTAATTTGCTTATGGAATACCAGCAAAATTCCAAAGTTTCTTATTCTAACAGGGACAGGAACTGTGGTTTATCAGAAAGATTTGGGACATTTTCCCCATAGTCTTCCCTTACAATGATTTTTGCCCTGAGGAGAAGTTTGTCTTGTAGAGCTGGAGTGGATTCCTTTCAACCAGAAGAGGCTTTTTGTTGCCTCTCAGTCTTGTGGGATGCCCAAGGACTTAAAATATGAGTTGAGAGTTCACTTAGGAACACAAGTAGCGAAAGTTCTGAATTAAGAGCACTTTAACATCGAACTCCCAACAGGGAAAATTCTGTATGGATGAGGAAGAATAGTAGCAGAGAACATTAAATACCTAGATAGAATGCGGATAGGCTCTGCATGGACAGAGCTTTCTCCAGGCAGAAATGTCCCTTTCTGAGAAGACTTGGTTTAAGACACTGTTAGAGTTCTTACACTTATCAAAAATTAGAGAGAGAGAGTGTGTGCAGACAATGATTTATTTAATTATACATTTTCATCCAGAGGATGGATCATGGTTTTGCAAGATCTGCTTTTTCTGTGTTTGGTATATTAAGGTCCTAGTTGTGTTTTGAAGTATACTGGACAGACAACTGCCTGGATTGAGAAATTGCAAAAACCTTCACACCAATCATACTTAGTGAAAGGTGATCAAATGAATAGTTGCCAATAGTTCTGCACTGTCACATAGGTACAACCCTGCAGGGATACAAAATTTGTATCTGCATCCACATCCACATCTGCAAAAATTAGCTACAGATATCTTCATCTACTCTTGGCAGAAAATATTGTACTTGCATTGCAATACAGACCTCCTATCTAAACATATGTTCCAAATACAAAGTCTAGTGGTAGGATATCACTTGTGTGAGTGAACAGTGTCATTCACATGAGCACAACATAAGCAGGAAGGTGACCAACAAAGGGGTGGTGTTGATGACAAAGACCTAGTTGGAAGAAACAGATAGCCATACTGTACTGACTGTATGCATCCAGAGTAAACAGAATGTGCCATTTCTAATCTACTTTTTAACATTAGTAACTTCCAAAATGTCTTTGGTTTTGCAATGAAGCATCTAACAGGTTTTGCATGACAACTACTTCAGTTAGAGACTTGGTGGTCCATTGGTTAGGTTCTTTACCTAGACAGGGCTACAGTGAGGCTCAGTTCTCCATTTTGCCACTGACTTCCTACATGCCTTTCTACAAATTGTCTAGCCTCTGTGCCTCAGTTCTTCAACTGTAAAAAGAAGGCCACAGCATTTCCTTCACTCACAGGAGTGTTTTGTAGCTAAATATATCATTAAAGATTGTGAAGCACTCAGGCACTGGAAACAGGATCAAATAAGTACTGATAATAGAACAGGGCACAGAAGATAATGAAGGTTAAATGCCAAGGATTTTTTGGTTCAGATAAATTTGGCTTCTTATCCTTTATCAGATCCAACAAGTCTTTCTCCATGCAAATCTTCCTCTATGAAAAATTTACTCCATTTACTATCATTAAAGATTGTGAAGCACTCAGGCACTGGAAACAGGATCAAATAAGTACTGATAATAGAACAGGGCACAGAAGATAATGAAGGTTAAATGCCAAGGATTTTTTGGTTCAGATAAATTTGGCTTCTTATCCTTTATCAGATCCAACAAGTCTTTCTCCATGCAAATCTTCCTCTATGAAAAATTTACTCCATTTACTGCTTCCCATTGCATTGGTTTTCTTGGGGGGGGGGGGGGGGGTGGCAGC